GAATAAAATTCGATAAGCACTGAAAGACTAAGTAAGTATGATACTGTTTACTACTCAGTGATCCATCGATTGTAAATTCAATCACTGGGCTAATTATCACCATATATATACATATATACTATATTCAAGTTTACAAACTAGACATGATCAAATTTTCGATATTTACTAGCAATGGAAATATCAAATAAAAAAATTGTTTACTAGGTCAATTGTGTTGTATAATACTAAACACTTAAACTTGTCAACATTTTATTATTTATAAGAACCAATCTATGTATACACCTTTTATGTTGAAAAAGAATAAAAGTTGTATTGTTTGACCTGGTAGCGTAAAAAAAACATACTAACAATCGAATTAAAAGTTTTTTCAAAACAATTTTATTTGAAATTAATATGTAGTAGACAAAATTTTTAATTAAAATCAAGGCTAACCGTACACACATAGAATATTGGTGAGTGGCCACCTATGCTCCTCCATGTGGAGTAACAGGCGTAAGTAAGTAAGTGGACATGCATAGTTAAAATTGATTACAAATGAAACGTGAGACGAAGAATTACATTTATTTATTACAAAATGTTTGATTGTTCAAATAAAAACTCAGTGTTGTTCTTTTTCTAGGTAGGTTTGGAATGATACTCTATTTAATACAACTAACAAGAAATATAGTAGTCTCTCACCAAAGCGCTTAGGTTTTAAATTACGTTCACAATATTATTATTATTACTCTTATTATTATCCTTGTCTCCTCTTACCTTCCATTTCTAGTCTAGGTGACCATTTATTCTTTTATATATATAAATGTTCATAACAAGTAATGTATGATCAGATTGTTCGAAAAGTATTGCGCTAATATATTATCGCATAGTCCTGATAATCTTTGTCTTCTTATTTCATTATCGAAATTGTTTTTTATTTGTGAGGAATTTGTTAAAAAAATTGAGTGTGGTATTTCTACTATGTCCTGGTATGGCCGAGATTGGGGTGGGCCCGCCCTCCCTCTCGAAATACTCTCACACGACCACGCGTATACAGCCTCTGCCAGGGAAGTCCTACTCACTGCCTTCTCGTGGTGGGGGTGTTGTTTACGAAATTGAGAGGACGAAAAGCGAATGTCCGATGCTTTAACCGGATCCCAAGCCAATGGTGCACATAGCATATGAACCAATCGTTGGTCACCGGCTACAATGGGACTGGATCTGCTCACGATGCTCCACTGCCTTGTGGGTTAGACCTTTAGGTCAAAGGCTCGAGGTGTGGCCTCCTAAGAAGGCCACCTGCTTCGGTTTTGGCACCCGGACAGTATCACAGCCCATACACAAATATAATGAAAATAATGAAAATGTGGTATTTCTACTATATAGGAGAGAAAGATATTTCAATAATCTAAGCTATAAATTTTCATTAAATAAAATGAAGACTATTTAGTTTGTTTAACGTTATGAAATCCAATCTACGGAATTTATGGATTTACAAAACTGTGATATAACAAATAGAAAACTGTACTAAAAAACGTTGTAAATTGATATATGCGTTCAGTAAAGTTATACTTCTTTTTATCCAAAATAGTGGGTATTACAAAGAAACAATAAAAATTACTTAACTTTCATGTAATTATTTCGTTTGGTGACAAATATCAATGAATTTTCAATCAATCTCAATTAAACAAAAATAGAAATCGTGTGTACTGGGGTAGATACTTGTCTCTACTTGACACGGATTAGATTCACTGGTCACGGCTTCTCACTAGAACTTCGAGAATTCCCTCACGAAGCTGTTCACTAGTAAGCACATGGTAATTATCAGTATGGAGTTGTGGAGATTATTAAGTTTTTGGCTGAGATCATGAAGCGTTCGCGCGCAAGACCGAAAGCCCTGGATTCAAATCCCGCGAGCGGGGTCGTGTATGCGCACTGCTTAGGAGTCCCACAATAGGACGAAACAGCCATCTAGTGCTTCCATGTCTTCAATGGTACTCTGACATCAATCGATTCATGATCTAAATCAAAAACTTAATAATCTCCACAACCCCGTACTGGGAAATCGTATGTTTTGCGTAATAATATTTTTTGTGACCTGTTAAAATGAGTGAGCATTCAAGAGCTACGGGTTATGGTATTGAGGATTTTTGTTTAACTGACTAGAAAGGTTATGAATGGTATGTGTTACTGATTAAATACGACAAAAATGGACTCCTACCATCTATCTACTCATTTCTTTTCTACCAATGAATATCCAGTTTTTACTAACCAATGACAATAAAATGTAACAGAAAACTCTAAGTCATTGATCATAAAGAAAAGAATTGTCATAATTCTGTTCATTAAGGAAATATCTATGAATAGCCAATGGTCAGATAATTTTTCTACCCGTTAAATCTCGTTATTTTTTAGAAAAAATTATAGTTAGAGTCTGGATGAAATCTAGACAAACAGATATACACACAGATCGGTTTTTGCTGTTTAAGTTTTAGATTTTGGTAAACTTTTGATTAATTATGTAACAGAGTACGGATCAGTTGGTAGGAGTTATACATAGTCATAGTCCTAAATATAGTCATAACTTCTATAACTAGGACGAGATAGGTTTATGCATTTGTCTTCCAATACTATTGGTAGGTATCCGCTTCATGCATGACATAGTTGAACTCCATCGGTCACAACCGTGAGAACTGAATGCACTGGGTTCTGTCACTGGGGTGGGATTGTGGATACGTGATCTAGAGGAGTCCGGTAGTAGGACGATAAAGCAGTTTAGTACATTTTAGCTGTTATTAATAGCGAAAGTAAGGTTAGTCGGTGACTTCAATGGACTTTGCAAACCACTCATAATACGATTTGAATAGATTAACACACCTATCATTTGTTAACGTTTTCTGAAATAGGAGACAGAAAATGTCTGTCCATGATAAAAAGTCCTGCTGAGTAAATCTTTAAAACTTTCTTAACTAAATGACTAAGGTTTAGTTACTATTCAATAGCTTTGAGGTGGGTTTCTTAAAATTCTACAGGACAGCCACGAACAGTAAAGTCAACCGTTGCAACAGTGAAGTTGATAACCATCGAGTGACGACACTGGATGATGATTGCGCTGTTTTGTGAACCAAGTGCAATCGAAAACACAGGTAGTTGGATTAGGGTCTAAAGTAATATTAGAATATGAACTTTCCGGATTCGATCTTGTTAAGGAGTCTAAGAGTGAAACGAAACGGTTAACCAATGGTTTTGTTGTTTTCAACCGATTTTCAGCTGATATCATTTTATAAAAAAAGCCATCACATTTAAGATAGAAGGTTCGAAATGACATTTAACTTGTAATTGATAGGAACAAAGAGAATGGATCGACGTAATCCGTGTCGACTAACATTTTCAGTCATTGATTACGGATATTGTGCGAGATCCAACTAAGAAGTCGACTCCCACCAATATCGATGCAATGTTTGAACACGACTGACTCTAAGCTTTTTACCGACCTAATTTTGGATTAACCAGAAGTAGATGTCTGGAAAGGTGGTGATTAAATATAACCGACTGATGTAGTAGGCAAAACAATGGATAAAACTTTGTATCCCCATTACCACTGAAATATCATTATTTATACTCAGAAAATAATTAAAATTCAGGATTTTTATTGTAAACTTCAGATAGTGGTGATAAAGGTGACAAGACTTTACTGTTAAGAGTAACCATATGCTAAAATTCCTGAAAGCAGTCGCAACTTTTACTCATGGTGAAAATAAAATTATTTGAGTAGACAGCTTAAAGATGTATATTTCAAATAACGCAGGAAAAACTCAACATGTTTTATACATTTAAAAAAACGCATTATTATGCCCAACTTTCATTGCATCAAGGCTTTAAATCTAATCACTTCCCTGTCATTCCAGAATAACTCCAAGTTACTAAACTTGACCCTGGAAACTATGGGTATTTCATTTTGTTTGACGTCAGTTCGTCACATTTATCATTAATTGTGTAAATACAGAAAATTTACACATGGTATTCAAATTTAATTAAACTGTTTAAATTTCTTCACATAGTTGCAAGCATGGAATAAAACAAATATGTTTCTATCACTTATATATCTCTAATATAAGTTAGACAACTACTGTAGTGAAAAGAGTATACAAAGTTGAGTTTATAAGTATGTTTGGAACTTCGAAAATCTATCCTAGGCATTTCAGGCATTCTAGTGTTAGATAATACCGTAAGTCAAGGAGCACTCGAACATCACTCTCAATACTACTCTGCAAAGTAAAAATTTAGCATTTTTTAAACACCATTAATATATCAATTTATTGTAGGAAGTCTTTTTATCGACCATACTGTAGTAATAATTTATAGACTTTAGTTCTTGGTGCTGATTGACGTCTGCCAAAAAAATTCGTTGAACCAACGTCATAACGATACACGTACATTAGTTCTTAGATTATTAGGTGATATCACCAAGAAAAGATGGACAAAGACAATCAATTAATTCCATAGAATACTAATATAACCCATGGAACAGATATACCTGGTTAATTACGTTAACATGAATAAGTGTAAATAATGGAATCTAAATTTCTTTTGATGTTTGATTAGGTGATACCTATGGAACAACTCGACATGATCTACTATTGACAAATCAGAAATCTACCATAATGCTAACCCAATTATATAGAACAGCACGAAGAAAAACCGCAATTACTATTCAAATGGACAAGTATATTTTGACTGGGCAGTAATCAACTACAAACTATCACGTTCAAATCCTAAGTGGTGTATGCTTTCAAACACGTATTTTAAGTTAAGTCAGTATATTAGAAATAAAAGGATCAGAATAGGATGTCGAAAATTTATTTAATCGGCTTTTATCACATTAGAAACGTTAGATTAAACATCTATTCTCTAGTCTAAAATCCTCCCACAGTTAATAATGTGTAAAATAGACGGAGTGATTTTCAGCAAGCACTCATGACAAACACTGATAGATTTGCTTAAAAACGATCAATAAAACTTACGTTAATGAAATAGGTGCGTCACCACTACGATTGGTATAATTTACAACGGCATTGAATGTTTGGTTAAACCATTGCCAAAATATGACAGCCGGTGTAGACCTAAATGCAGTAATAATAAGATAGATAAATAAACCCATTACATTCTACAGCTGACAGACCGAAAATTTTTTAACAGATTTGTCAGCTTTTTTCATCGGGTGGATTGATAAAACTAACTAGTATGAAGTTCTGCAGACATAAAACAAACAGTATTGTAGGACATTTCAACTGTTTCAATTTACAAGTATAGGGTCGTAGAGATCGTTTAGTTTCACGGAAATCATGAATCGATCAATGTTAGACCACTATTGAAAACCTGACCGTTTTATCCTAGTATGGGAAGTGAGCAGCCACGAACCCAGGACCTTCGATCTCGCGCGCGAACACCGAACCCTTGAACCATTGAGCCGGCATCCAACGCCGTTAATCTTAATCTGGTGGAATCCCAGTTAGTTATGAATTCATAATCTTCGACAAGGTTTTGCACAGTAGTATGTCACTTTATTAACGATATTTCTATACCAAACTGAGACTTGATATATTGAAACACTAGCCAACAAAGCCTATGACGTTTTTGCAACAAAAAATAATTTCATGGATGAGTTTATTTCGCTCTATCTCCTTGTGAAACAGCTGTTTAAACGAACTAATGAAAAATGGATGTATACATTCGGTCACTTTTTCTCTGCAACACTGCCCAGATACTGTATACAAAAGAGTAAGCGCTACTAGAATCAAGCATATGGTCATAGATACAATTTAATTCAGTTTGTAAGCTTTGAGATATTCGACGATTCTAGTTACTAAAACCTTCGTTGTACGCTTTCAATCAGCCCTTGCGTTGATGTGACGTTATAGTCATAACATACGCTTAAGGTCCAAAATGATAAATGGAACAACCTAAAAATCTAGCAACATTCTAAAATAATTAGTATATGTAACTTAAATAACACACTAAATACTTTGCTATTGTTAAAAAGCTTCAAAGCGTTTAATTTACTCACTTGTAAAACTGTAGCAAACAACCCGTTATAAACATATTCCCAGGAACTTGAAATGACATGCGTCCAATGAGTATCATTTTTTCTCCTGTGTCTGGATGGAACGCTGAGTCGTACACATTTTTTGCTTGCCAAAGCTTTTCTACAGTTAAACCGGGTTGAATAATCCCTATCCTGTAATTATTTTATAGCAACACATGACCACATAGTACTCACCTATAATTATGAACGATGGTCCTTGCTTCTTCTAATTCAGTAGATGTTTTGAATGCGTTCAAAGGATTAGTTGTAATAAAAAAGTGTTTGGCTCTGCCAATGTATGTGGACTGATCATATCGAGGCTTTTCTATATCGACTGATTTACCGTGAACTAATTCGGATGGCTATGGCATTGTTAAAAACAAAAGGAAGTATGTTAAGCAGTAAAAACTGTGATAAACTTAACATTTATAAAAACTTGAGGGAACTGACATACAACTAATCATAAAAGTACCGTGTAGATATTTCATAGTAAAACAGTTGCCTGAAAGATTAGAAAGTGGATAAATGATATCTAATATGCTGAAGTTTGCTTTGGCCAATATGATAAAATGCCAAGTAGATTTGTTTCCACTGATATTTTGACGGTTAATTCTGTGAAATATTTCAAAGTAACGGTACACTGAGAATCGAGTATCACTAAGAGCTATTACTCAGAATAAAAGTCGTTTAATTCTGAAAACGACCAAGCGGAAATTAATGATTAGTGATAATTTATTCAAAATACAATGCTTAAAATGTCTTAGAAAGATAGAAGAAACAGGTTACGTGTGATAGTAGTTCCCATAGCCAAAAATTTTGAATAATGATTAAGAAAGTATAATGAACAAGAGCTCAACTACAACCCAGAGGCAGTATCCAATTTTAGTAGAAGTGGAAAGCCGACAAAAAAGAATTAACAGAAGCCAAAAGTTTTCATAACAAATTGCTGTTTTTAAACCTACCAATAGCTACTTCACCGAAGATATGTACATTAGCGAATAAAGGCACGGTTACTTGAAAAGGTTTTCAACTACGGATAAAATAAACTTGTCACTATGAAGGGCACATCGGATAAGAATTAAAAGACGCCTGAAGGTACCTATCGACTGGCAATTACATTAAAAATGAGTGGTAGGAATTTTAAATGGCTTCTACAGACAGACGAAAAAGGTTTTGAAGCATTGAGCTGAATGTTTCTCAGCAGTCAGAGATGAGACAGTTAGGGTTAGCGTCGGGTGTCGTATAAATTACGTCCACATGAGCTGCAATGATGACCGGAGTCTGCTAAATAGGGAGTCACAGTTTAGTGTCTTAGTCAATCCACGTACATTGGTTATAAACGGTAATAGCATCTTGATTAATGTCAGTTACAGATGTAAAAAACCCAATCTCAAAGGTCTAATCTAATTTCTAGAGTGTCTGTAACGATGAATCAGTCCCCAAAACAAATAGTTCCGTAAGTCTTCGATATCGTTGACCTCACTTGTTTTGGTAACTACATTCTAGCTTGATTACCATGACACTTCGATCAGAATAACTACCTATTCAGTTTCAGTTTCAGTTTGGGAAGGACAGGAGGCTCGATGGCCTATGTTAGTCCTGGCAATGGTGGTCTCTCAGTTGATCCAACTTTCTTTTGAAAGAGTCGACGGATGGAGCCTCAACCACGTGCTGAGGTAGTGAATTCCACTCGTTGATGATTCGATGGGAAAGTCGATAGTCAGCTGACAAGTAATTTGTTCTCGGCTTATGAACTTTTTTGGAGTGTCCTCGTAAATTCTCTGTTTTGGAAGACAAGAAAAATGAGGGCATGTTAGGTGCAAATTTATCACTAAGCAATTTGTAGACTGTAATCAAGTCGCCTCTAGTTCTGCGATATGACAACGGTAAAAGGTTCAGCTTGGCCAGTCGAGATTCATACGGAAGCTTCGCTATTGCGGGAACCAGCTTAGTCGCCATTCTCTGAACCTTTTCCAGAAGCTCTCTGTCTTTTTTAAAGCAGGGGCTAGCCGCTTGAATGCAGTACTCAAGTTTAGGACGAACGAACACTGTATACAAAGTCAAAAACGTCTTAGTGTCGACATGACTAAAAGCCCTACGTATTGACCATAACGTTCTAAAACTTTTGGCGGCTATTGCACGGCAGTGTGCAGTAGTCTTTAAGTCTTGACTAACGATAACTCCTAAGTCATTATATGTCTGGACGACAGGTAGCTCAGTGTTATTCATCGTGTATGTATCTGTGCCTTGATGACCGATATGCATCACAACACACTTGGAAGTATTTATCGGCAACTGCCATGTTTGAGACCATTCAGATAACTTCTTCAAGTCATTTTGAAGTTCTAAGCTATCACTCTTACATCGTATCGTTCTCCATATCTTGACATCGTCAGCATATAGCAAGACCGATGATGATAGGAGACAAGGAAGGTCATTTACATACAAGAGGAATAGCACTGGCCCCAAAACTGTACCCTGGGGCACTCCACTAAGCACAGTTTCCCAGCTAGATAACTTTGAGTTCACCCTTACTCTTTGTTGACGCCCAACTAAGAAGTCTTTTATCCACATCAATAAATTACCTCCAATCCCGACATGTCCTAACTTATATAACAGCCGGTTGTGCGGAACTTTATCAAAAGCTTTACTGAAATCAATGAAGGCGACGTCTACAGGTAGCTTTTGGTCCTTAAGAGCACACCAGCTTTCACGAGCCACTAATAAGTTAGTGAGACAAGAATAACCTATTCTGAAGCCATGCTGCTTCTCCGAGAGGATCCGGTTTTTATCGAGATACTTAAACAGCTCCTTCCGAATAATCTTTTCTAATATTTTAACAACCACACTAGTTAGGCTAACGGGGCGGTAGTTCTCAGGTTTGTGTTTCGTGCCTGTTTTGAAGACAGGACTTACTATGGCGTTTTTCCAATCTTTCGGTAAGCGACCCTGCGTAACGGATAGGTTAAAGCATGTACTTAAAGGGTTCGCAACGAAGTTAGATAATTCCTTCAGTAGCCTAGGATGTAATTCATCGGGCCCCGTGGATTTACCTATGTCAAGCTTATTTAGCAGACCAAGGACATCGAGTTCTTTAATGGTCACGCTATCTAGTGTATGTATGGGGGGATCTGTATACGCTGACGAGAAGGGCGCTTCTATGGTATACACGTTGCTAAAGTAGTTCGAGAACGCTTGAGCCTTACCAAAGTCGTCCTCCACTAATGATGAAGCAGTACTGTCTCCCCATAGAGCAGGAATATTTCCTTTTCTCCTTGTCCTTTGGTTTATATAGGAATACAAACGTTTAGGACATTCTATGGATTCCTTAACAAGTTTTTCTTCGTACAATTTTCTAGACTTACGGAGGGTCGAGGCACAAGTGTTCCGAGCCTTTCGATACTGAGATTTTGACTCATCAGTCCCCAGTAACCTAAATCTATCCCACGTTTTCCTTTTCTTACGGAGAAGGATACGGACCTCCCTACTGAACCATGGTGGTGAGTTTTTCGGCCCCTTTGGTATAGTCCAAGGGATGTGAGGTGTGGTAACTTTTAAGTATGATTTTCGAAATGTGTCCCAGGCCGTTTCAATGGAGGACTCTGGGTCTATTGTCCAATCTATTAACGATGCTGAGTGCATGATGTCTGGTATGTTTGCTTTCCAGACGTTGGGTCTGGACTGGACTGACGCGTCCTCATGACTGGCAGTTATATGGAAGTCGAAAGTTAAAACTGCGTGGTCACTTTTACCTAAGGGTGGCATATGGTGGAGGTTCGCAACATCATCCTCATAGTGAGTCAGTATAAGATCTAATAAGGATGATTCAGTGTCCGGGTCGTACCTAGTCGCTTCTTTCACATGTTGCACTAGGGCACATGTGATAACCACATCAACTAGTTCCTGCTCGAAGGAATTTTCTGACGATTCAGTTCGCAGATTTTCCCAGTCTACCATTGGTGCATTAAAGTCCCCTAGGATTAGACATCGACCACTTTGGGACCAAGTATTGAGATTGCTTAACAGGATCTCATTTGCCTCACAGCTTGGACTGCGATAGACCAAACCAATCAGCAGCTCTTGTCCCTTGCATTTTAAGCGAAGACTAACTAATTCACACGTCCCACTCTCATGGGATACACTATCGATAATGGTAAATGGGATAGCATTCCTAATGAATAGAGATACTCCCCCTCCTTTGCGCCTTTGTGTTCTGTCGGCCCTTACTAACGTAAAGCCCTCGAAATCAAGTTCTATACTATCTATAGCCTGTGTCAGCCAGGTTTCTGTTACTGCGATTATATCTGGCTTTATAGAGTCAATCTGTACACCTAGTTCCGATCGCTTATTAAGTAAGCTTCGTGCATTGGTGTAACAGATCCGAAGCCTGTTTAAGTGCCTTCATGCTTCACCCAGAGTGGCTTCGGCATCATTCTCTGTCGAAGTCTTACAACCCGAAAATTTACAATTTTCAGGTCCTTTTCGCCAGCGTGTAACCTATGTTGTAGTTCTTTCTCGGCTTCCCGTCTTTTAACACGGTCTGCCAACGGTAGGTCCTTTCGGATAAAGACTCCCGAGCCCTTTAATTTGTGTCCATTTTGTAAAATTAGGTCACGTTCGTTTGAAGAGCCGAATACTACTTTAAGCAGTCTGGAATGATTTGGTTTCGAGTCCGTTAGACTCCCCAGTCTATACACCTTTAGCAAGGTGACCCCAGTCATATTCTGAGGCATGAGTTGATAAAGCAACTGCCTAATCAGTACAATGTCATGCTCAAAACGAGCTTTAGGTTCAGAGCTATCGCTCTCCTTAATTCTATGAAAAATAGCTGATCTGTCGCTATGATCAGCTTTCGATTTTTCAACCACTTTTACGGGGGCAGGTTTCCCTTTTATATCAATACTTTTCTTCCTTACAACCTTTACCCATTCGTTAACGCTGCTGGTAGAAGCAATAGCAGTTGCGTCAAAACTAGTGTTGGGTTTTGGGGGGTTGTCGACGACCTGAGGGGTCGTGTTATGTTGACCATTTGAAACCGATCGAGCCTTGCGATTGCGGCTCCTAGGTGTTTCCTGTTGGATCCCATCTGGGAGACGGGGAACAGAAGACCCTACTTTTCTTGAGCTTTTTTTAAGGCAGACCCCTTTGGAGACTGCTTTTCCTTCTTCGACGGGCGTGAGTCATCTATCACCAGACTAACCTTAGTTTCCTTCACGTTGATTTGCGTGTCAACAGATCGAGTGCTGTTTGACGCATTCCGACGATGCTTGCTAAAACACTTCTTTGCAGCATCGACCAGTGAAATGGCCTCGGTTAGCAAGCTGTTTGCATCCGAGCAGCACTGTTGACAAAGCCACACACAACCCTTCTTACTGAACCGTTTGAAAGCAGCAGGCGTTAAGTTCGTTCGAACTTCATGGTACCAGCCTTTGCACTCGTCGCACTGCATGCCTCTTTCAACAGGATAACGACAACCCGGACGTTGGCAACTGCTTTTTTTACACTGTCCGGTCATTTAGGAGGGGTTTTTTCAATATGCGATGATACCCAGAAACAAAAAAATTATCAATGACCAAAAAAAGTGAAGAGCTGTAGATTGCTAGGACCAAAAGTACTAACAGATACAGTTGAAAAAGTGGTACTAAAGAGTACCAACGACAAAACAGTAAAAACGATACTTTAGTCGAATACTTTAACTGAAATAAATTTAATTAAAGTGAAAAACAGTAGTCTTGATACGTAATAAACGATCAAAACAATGAAATTTACTCAGCGAGGAAAAATACCACTGTCCTTTTTTAAATAGCGCCCAAAAATGCTAAGTACGTTGGCTAATACTGAACAAATTGCTCTGCATTTTAGACCTTGAGAACTATAAATCAAATGAAAATTAGAGTCTCGCCATACTTTTGATAAGGTCAGAAATATCTTACGGAGTGACGAATACTTCCCTAACTGTTCCTGTGTCCCTAGTCTTCTGCCTGATTCATCAGAAGCATTGTCTGATGTTCGGTCGCGTTAAAATAAACGGTTTATAGAGAAAATGAACGAAATGCATAGACTTACATCAGGTATCATTATGATGCGAAAACAAGTCAGAAAATGTAGACGTTTTGAAAAAAGCACTACCCGGTTCACCTTGAAGAAGTAGCAAACATAAACTTATTTGACAATCAGCTTTTGTTATTATTCGCTTCTCTTCTTAATTTCGCATATTTTGTGTAAATACCATTATTGGCTGTAAATGTTTTGTTTAAAAATACTCGACGCGCTAGTTTCAAAGATGGCAGTGATTTTTGGACTTGTTGTGATTATACTTGCTTTGGGTACTTATTGCACTAAAAAGCATTCTTGGTCTACTTTAACTAAGATTACTTTGGTTAAAGTTTGTAATTTTTTTGCTAAATTTTGTCCTGAGTACCATTTTTACTCCTTGACTGACACCTATGTTCACTTTATCATTTTGTGTTTTTAAACCTTTTAAATCTAATTACAATGGTTGGTAAGACTCACAAATGTGGGCAACCAAATCGTTTGTTCTCCGTTGAGGAGGGAATGCAGTGTGACAATTGTAAGAAGTGGTACCGCAAAGTGTGTACACGCCTAAGTCCGATGGCATACAAAAGATGCTCGTAGCCTAACTCGCATTGGCTTTGTATGTTCTGCTGTACGGAGAAAAAGGTACTAATACAAGAGGCTATGGGCCTATTGGCTTTAGCCTGCAAGAAAAACGATGGCGGAAGCACTGATAACAAGAGCACTGACGATGAAGAATGTATCAGTGTAGTAAGTGCTACTACTGGACCCGTTAAACACCTGACTGCGGTTGACGGGAACGTGAAATCTCCGTTGACATTAACGAGGAATGAAGTGTCGCTTGATACTGACATCGGCAGTCATACACCTCTAGTCGAAATAGAAGATCCGGATAAAACTCACCGTTCCATATAGTCCACGTGTGGATGTTCTGAGTGGGGACAAATGGACTTCGGTAAGAAGAAAAAATAAGAAGAAAAAGGCTGTGGGCAAAACGCAGCTGGTCAGCAAGGCATTGGAAGGGATGTTTACAGAATAAAAATCCTCACTGCGTGACAAGCAGATCTCTCTGATAGACCAGTCATTTTTCATAAGATACGAGGATCTTCAGATACAGAACCAAAGGCAAGATTTGAACATGATCTCAATCATATTAAGACATCATTAAGTAAACCACTCCCAGATACAGTTTCAGGAGTCAGTATTTGTAAGCTTTATAGAATAGGAAAAAAGGTGGATTCCGAAAGTCCTCAGAAAAATTGCCTCCTAAAGGTTATATCCAACACGGTGGATGAAAGGAACCTGATTCTAAGTATTTCACGTAAACTGATTGGATCCGGAATATATGTCCATGAGGATCTCAACCTACTGATCGTATTAAGAGACGAGCTGCAGAAGCGGAAATAAACGAGCGTCGCCGAAACGGTGAAAGAAACCTCGCTGTTAAGGGTTTTCTAATTGTAAAAGTTCGGAGCAAAACGATCCTCAAGCCACTCTGGGTTGCAAGGGAAAGCTCTCCACAGACTTAAAGGTATGCTACACAAATGCCCGCAGACTGCTAAATAAAATGGCGGAGCTCAAGTTAGTGGTGGATGAAGAAAAACCGGACGTTATTGCTGTCTCGGAAACTTGGTTAACGTCAGAAGTAGTAGATAGCGAAATCCAGTTGACTGGTTTTTTAACCAGTATGGCTGATAGATTAAACCGAAGGGGAGGCGGGGTTATTCTGTACACGAAAAGTACCCCAACCATAAGATTAGCTGAGACAGTAGCACATGTTTCAGAGACATGTGAGCTGGTGAGATGTAAGTTGAAATGCCGAAGGCAAGATATTGGATTAGTTGTAGTATATCGCAGTTCAAAATGTGTAGCAGATGATTTTCTCCTCAGTAAACTTAAGTCCTGGTGTAACAACGGTAAAAGCCTTGTAGTAGGCGACTTTAATGCCCCATATATAAACTGGGTTAACTTAGAAGTAGGGTCATCGATATCGTTGTCCGACTGCAAACTGCTAGAAACCTCGATTGGACTAGCATTATTCCAACACATTAGAGATCCCACAAGATACGACTTAAGAAACTCTTCTTCTCTTTTAGGTTTAGTCTTCACACACGGTGATGACGTTGGTCAAATGTCTTTTCTCCCACCACTTGGGAGAAGTGACCATGCAGTCATCTTATTCAAATTCATTCAGGAATGGGTGAATACCAGGTTTTATCTACAAAACGCAAATTTACAAATCAAGCACAATTAAGCAAAGTGTTTCTTTGTTACCTCCTCTTTAGACTCACTGAGTTGTACATTAGTCAATATGGCGATACAATAAACAGTATATTAGAAGATATTGGTGAAGATTATAACTGAATTATTCAATGTTATAAATCTTCAAAAATAGTGATGTTCATGTCTACTGCCTTGAATGCTGAAATAATGTGTCCATTGTTGTATTTGAAGTTTAAACATTAAAGAGTAAGTTAAGTAAGCAGTGGAGATCTTTGGTCCATAAAATGCGAGTAATCGATGAACGTGATGATACAGATCAAAATATATCGTGGTTATTGTGGCAAGAATAATAATAACAATCATTAGAAAGATAAGTGTCAAATAAGCGCTCATCGGAGGTAGACTGGGATAACGATAAAATTTGATTATGTTACACGACGAATTAACACGTTCTCTGACGTAGAATGACACTTTGACACTATCAAGATATGTTCTGCGTCTCATACGATGATATATAACGAAACACAACAGATAACTCTGCAAAATACAGATTTACTGGCGTCATAAACGTTTTAGGATAGCCGAACAGTTCGACATCCAATATACAAGTGTGAATTGTCGTTCCCGTACCTCACAAAAAAGCATCCAAACGTATGCAAACACAGTCAAGTCCAAGTGAAAATATCCACCGCAGCGCGAACACATAACATATGGAAGGCAGATATGCAGGCAATTAACTCCGCAGCATCGGCTGAAAACTGGGAAATTGACTCAAAGATATCAGTACAAGAGACATGAACTCTAAACAGGCAGTTATACAATCGGGTAAATCAACCATACATACCCTGGACTGTCCCAAAGAAAAAGAAGCACGGACATCCCTGGATAGGGCGGGATATTCGGCGCTTACTAAGACAAAAGAAGAAATGCTGGGATGTTGCCATCCGCCTTGGCACAGCAGGTACGATGGAACGCTACAGATCGATAAGAAACGAGTGTATAACAAAAATTCGGGAAGCTCAAAGAAAATATGAAATGCAGCTGGCACAATCTGCACTCAAGCAGCCCAAGGTAATATTCTCGTCCATAAACTACAGAACAAGGATGCATCATTGGATTCCCAACTTAATTAAAGTAGGAAGTGAATCTGAAATGATAGAGGAAGATCAGGAATAAGCAGAGGTTATGGCTGACTATTTTGGGGCAGTTTTCAGTCAGAAGCCTCCTGTAGAGAAAGAACCAGACCCAAATACAGAGTCAACAAACCACCTGCTCACCGTGGACTTCGACCAAAACGATGTGCTTAAGGCTCTTAGCACCCTAAACATGGAGAAGTCAACAGGTCCAGATGAACTCCACACCAAAATCTTGAGACATATTGCCCAATATATCGCGTCCTCACTGACTGTGATATTCAATATGTCACTTGATCAAGGTGTGCTACCTATGGACTGGAAGGACGCAGTCGTCACTCCCATACATAAAACAGGTCCACGACAAGTTCCATCGAATTACAGACCCGTAAGCCTCACCAGTGTTGTAATTAAAATACTGGAAAGAATAATCAAACGGACCATAACGGCATTTATGGAAACCAATAACTTGCTGAACATGGTTTTAGAAAGGGTCTATCCTGTACAACGAACGTACTTATAGCTAGGGAGTTCTGAATTAATGCGCTAGACAACGGAAACCCAGTGGATGTTGTCTACATAGACATCAGTAAAGCTTTTGACAAGGTGCCAACTAATAGACTGCTATTGAAGTTAGCAAACCTTGGTGTTTCTGGACCTCTTTTAAAATGGATTAAAGATTTCCCAGTAGGTCGTAGGCAAAAAGTAAGAATAAATTCCAAGTGCTCCATCTGGAGAAGAGTACTTAGTGAAGTACTCCTAGGTTCCGTCCTAGGTCCTTTACTTTTATAATAATAATAATAATTTTATTCTCAAATAACAGTTTGTTACATGAGGCATGCCAATTCACAGGCAAGATCAAATTGATACAAATGATACAATATACACTGTAGTAAATTACATAGCTGGGTTGATAATTTATAAGATATGAATGTAGATGGTTTTAATCAGTACTACAGTTGGCGCGCTTCACGATAGTTGCGCTGCGAATGTGCAACTGATGGTCAAGGATAGGTCTATGAAGGTGGGAGCTTCTAAATGTCGCAGCCTTATGTCCCTTTGGAATATCTAAGGCTTTAAGGATGGTGCAGGATGAAATCTTTCGTTCCATATCACAAGGGGGTTGAAAGAGGGAGCAAGTAAAAGAAAGGACGAGAGGCAGAATAGCCAATATTCATGAAGAAATGTTTAAGGTATGATTACTCAGTCTAATTTTCTTTTATTAAGGTATTTGTTAAGAAAGAGCATTTTAATAGGTTAAAGAAACTAAGTGTTAACAAGGTGTGAATGGACTTACAACTGACAAATGGAGGCGATTCGGAAAGGAGCTGAGAGTATAAGATTATTTGTGATTATAAAATAAAATATAGTGCTAGAAACAGTATTGTGATATACAATTGGCTGTCTTTCTTTTTTTATCGAAGCTAGTAGAGCCCCTTTCTTTTTTTATTATTTTTTTTCCAGGTATTATAGGGTCTTGAGTAGGCTTCGTTTATTCGCGAATTGTCTAGTTTGCTTTTAATAGGATTACTGGGTAGAAAGTGAAACCAATTCAACGTTCGTAACACGATTTAATGAGGTATTTTGCGTGATAAATCAGCATCAATACCATAAGTTCGTGACATCCCACTAAACCATAAGGAGCCGTAATTAAACAAAATGTTCTGCCCTACAGACATGGGTGGATTGAATTTATCTCCCCACCATCATGTTTGCTGGTCAGTAACGCCACCCTCCCTCCTTTTGT